TTGTAATGCCAAAGTGCAATAAACGACTGCAGCGCTACTACCGCCACGTAGTTTAGTCAAAAAGTTGATAGAAGTTGCAATATTTCGCGTACCAATGAGTCTACAACTACCGATGACGAATTTGTAACTTGGTCGTATATTAAGTATTTAATATGAAAAATTGATGACTTAGGACAGGTGACCAATTTTTAGCAAGTTAACTGTACCTATCTATTCAAATATTATAATAATGAATAAATTCAAACACCATTTAAGAGGTAAGCTGTAGGTAGTATACTGTATTATTTTTCTGGTTACACATCAAAATGATAGATTTGTGTCAGTGTTAATGCAAGTGCAGCTAAAAATCTGTCTCTTATTATTGAATTCTTAGGGAGTCCTCAGATAGTCATAAAAGTTTTCAAAGAAGTAGAAGTGTTTTGCTTGATTACGGAAAAAATAAATGAAGTGGTAAGTTCTATTGAACGTTGACCTTAATTTATAAGATGTGAAGTCGCTAACGTAGACTAAAATGTACTTTTTTGAGGGAGGAAAATCATTGAAAGACTCCTTCCGCCCTGGGTTAGGCGAGAGAGTGTCAGACTTCTTACTGACTAAAAACCACCCCCTTTCAATTCCCGCTCCAAACCGGGCCAGGATAATTATGTCATTTTGCTTGACCCACAAACCCGGCTATCTGTGGTGGTCTGATGGCTCTCAGAAGTGCGCTCGCGGGTCTGGTTCTGGTCGTTAGGTAAGACTTAAATGTACCCTACAGTATATCTATTATGCCACACAATCATGATGACCCGTTGACAGCATGTAGGTAGTTTCGATTGAAACTGCTAACTCCAGGCATTATGGGAAGACATAACTGTTACGAGACCAGTGTTAAGGTATGTAGAGAACGGGACCTAATAAAATTTCCTTATTATTTGAGCACTGCGATGTATGTAAGGCTAGTTGCATAGATGACCTGAATTCCATATTGGTATATGGTTCTTTCGAGTAATGTACCTATGTTGTGGTGATTCACTCGGTACTCAATCTTACACGGACTTTCCACGGATACACAGTATATAAAATAGCACGGAACCCCACATATCATCCAGTAGCATTTGCAGCAATCTATAAAGGATAACGTTCTAAAAGATTCCGCAGGAAGAAAAGGGTGTGGGTAACTAAGTGGGGTATATCGAAATAATTTTTTTCCTCATAACGAAAGTGCACCGAGCATTTTAACCATGTTTATCGGGTGAATACATGATCCATCGGCTCTGCAGTATTTTAGTCAGTCAATCACTTCAATATTTAGCTGTTCAAGAATAGCAAAGGTAGACGTCCTTTACTTACACATATTCACGCCTCACTCACCAGATACCGTTCTCGCGTAGAGTACGAACTGTTTCGACCCGTCTCCCTCGTACTGAAAAGTGGTGAGATTAACAGTACATGGTACCTTAGCAGAAAGAGTGAAGTCGTTAGGAATTCTCAACCGTTTCACGGCTTACCTACTCAAGTAGGTAACTGTTTTATGATGTAACCAGACTAGTTTCAAGCCATGCCTGGAGATCAGAGTCATGAGCGGCATTGCGCATCAAACGACATGATGAGTGTCACGTGGTCCACTGAAGTTTATTATAATTATACATAATTACGTTTAGTCTCTATGTACCTTAATCAGTTTCCTCTGTAGTTGCGTGTGATAAATCTATGGCTTTATATGAATATGCAATGCAAAGACAATGAGAACTACTGGTCAATCGCTTATAGAAAGTGAAAAGTTACACTAGATCATGTTCATGATTGACCTATTTTTAATCTTAGTAGAGATGTAACCTATCAAGAAGGTAATTTCTTGATGATGTTTCATCCTAATAAGTTCAGCGTAAATACTTGAATGTTATATTTCGACCTCAATTATTGAAAGTCATGCTATCAAAATCTTATCTTTGCCGCATTTATAGATGGTTTCCTCATAGATGTTGTTTCGTGGTAAAGAAAATGCACAGATTGAGTAGGTAAAGACGTCCAATTAAGGCAAAGCACTAAACCAAGTCCTAGTAAACAATCTTCCTTTATGGCAAGGTAGATTATTAAACATGTGAATTAGCTCCATTTGTTTTGTCGCAGTTTTAGTCGGAATTGAAGTTGCCCGTAGTTGAGAGGTCCAGGCGCTGCATTGCTATGTTGAGCACATCAAAGAGTCTTACTTATCAGACATTCTTAGATCATTCCACCAATCTAAAGTCAGCAAAGTATCAGAAATTTAGTTATCTAAGACTTAGAAGATACTCAAAAATACAGATTAAAGTTTTGAGATTTTAAGCAGTTATTAAACAAAAATTTTTTTGTCATGCTCGTTGATAATGCCTAAATAATAAATACTTTTGGATAGGTACTATGCCCGTATTGTTGCAGTCGTTTAGAGAATGAAATGTAATAAACCATGATGACTAAAACTAAATGTATATTTTAGTTCATTTAAGATCCAAAAGCAGAATAATTATCATTTAAAGATATTATTTTAATTATCCTATTGCTTTTTGATAGCTGTTCGAAGGTTCGTTTAAAAAAGGCAGAAAATTGCAAAACAATATAAAAGTAACCAGAATAAAAAAAAAAATTAAACCATGTAACGAAAAGAACATAATTAAATTTTATAAATGTAAACCGGTGATTAGTTGAAAATTTCATCGGAGTCCTTAGAATATTTTTTTGAAAAACCAAAAGAAATAAAAGAAATGCTTTGCAAAGAAAATACTTACCAATAAATCTCCATAGGCCCATCAATGGTATAACTAGGAGTATCTAGTTATGTTTCGGCTAATAGCAAAATTTGGAGGGAAACAAATTAATTTGATACTTACCATACTTGACAAAAATAAATTTCATAAATTGAAAGAAGTGGTTGCATGGTGTTATTGACAATAACATGACTGGAAGTTTATACTTTATATCAACCACCTTCTACGCTTCATAACCTTTGTACACAAGATACGCACTATGCGTGATTTGTAGTAGTATACCACATACTTATTTAAATGCTATTAAGTTTTTTAATCACCTTTCTGTGTGAATATTAATTAAAATTGAATTGGTTGTAATCTAATCTAATAGTGGTCATTAAGAGAACAAGAATGCTATAATCGTCGAACGAATCTACTATAGTGTTATGTAATAGTTAATTATTATCATTAGAATAACATATGTAATAATCAGTTTTAAAAAAATATTCTATGTAATGAAATCCTTAATTTAGTACCTAATTGATTTTTTGCCAGCATAAGATTTTTTTGTAGGTTTTTTTATGGATATTGCTATTTGCAGTTGATATTGTCCTGTCGATTCAGTGCAGACAAATTATGGATAAAGCATGATAAAATAACGTCAAGATTTTTTGAAGCACCTAATTAAACATTTTTTTGGGTATAAACACAGACATAATCTTGTCCATTTATTAACAACAAATATATTAAAACAAACTTACTCCTAAATTATAATAATTATTATTTAAATATAGTGAGATCAAAGTCTTTGGATATTTTCAATGAAATTTGTCCATAGAAAATATTAAACATATGCCTTGTGTCATTATTTGAATATTACGTATAGCTACCTGAACGCAATGAACGCATCTCCAAGCTCGCCTCCTACGATGTGCACACCTCCCTCGGGAATGGAGAGGCCCCGAAAGAAATTCCTAATGTCCAGAGCATTTGCAGACCATGGAAGGTTTTGTAGTCTAATGATGACACTCATTGTGGATGTTCGCACTTCTTGTACCTATAAAAACGAAAATAGCCTGTCCATTTTTGATTTGCATAAGTGTTGAATTTAAATAATTATGCTTTGAGATCATATTACAAATACTTTAAAGAGTTGCATAGATATAGAATACATCGAATTTCAATCGTTATCTGTTTATTTATTTTTTGTACAGAATGTTTGTTGACATGGGTGGTTGATGATATTTATTACGGCGTTCCTGTATTTGTCGTGCTTGATTATGTATCAGAAATTTATACAGTGACTGTAATTTCACGAAGCAAGTAAAATTTTCAGTTTTATTTCCATAAATAGTACCCCGGATACAACAAAATATACCAAGAATTTTTACGAGTATAACAGGCCACGTAGTATTTATAATGGATATTGGATCGTAACACCGAATACTGAAAAAACACGTAATCAAAATGAAGAAAAGAGGTTATAATATCGTTTCGTCAGACGCGAAAGTAAGCCAATTTTAAGAACATGATAATATCATAACTAAATAGTTAAAATAAAACCGCAGCGTAAATAAATCGATACAGTGCCAGAGCAGTAAATGTTATCGACTTCTCAGCATACAATAGGACGCCAACAAAGAACAATATTACTTTTCCTTGATCGCCAGTCCCGATAGCTCAATCAAAATTTCACACATCACACTTACCTATATATCTCTAAAACCTTGTTTACCGCGCTTAATTCTTAGACATGTCTAAACACAAATCTTTCACAGTATCACGTACGCAGTTTATTAATTAATTCATTCCAAATACATGGAAATTTATACGAATAAACACATGAACAGTAAGTAGCACACAAACTGCTCAATGCGAGAAAACAAAATGGCGCTGGGCTGGCGGTGAGCATTTTTTGATGACTCCGACCTTGGTGTGACCAGTGTAAAAGGATACGGAAGTGATTAACAAGTTTTAAAACAAAATGACAATAACTGTACAAAATGAAAAATAGAAAAAATGAATAAATTGTTCTCCTGTTTTAGAAAATACAAAGAAAATGAAACGCTATCTGTGCTTACTGCTACTGCTTACTGCTTAAATATTTTCAAGAACTTTTATCATTGATTCGTACATTATAATTATGAAAACATGAAATGCATTTGTAACTCTCGAAAATTGTATTTGAATCTTGAAAAATAAAAATAAAGTGAAAACAGGGCCAAGTACTAAATTTCTTTAATGGCAACCGATGAATTAAATTGAATGAATGAATGCATTATTGAACGAATGAGTTGGTTTAGTTTATGGTTAGTTTCAGAATTTCAGATCTGCGCTTGTCACGATATTGTTAATAATTTGCAGAAAAAATCTAAAAAGACACTTAATTTTCAAAGGATTTAGAAACCAACGTTTCTTACTTCTAAAACGTAAGTAAGCCTACACAAAAATCATTAGAGTGATATATTTTAATCGACATAAAAATTGTACCACGCTGTCAAAAATGGTCAAGTAAATAATCTGTTATTTTTTATGATCCCTTAATTTTTTATTATAAATAAAAACAACAATATTTAACGATAGTTTGTTCTGTTTACGCATTGTATTTCTTTGTAGCTCTTGTTTGCTTTTAACTTACAATATTGTCAAGTTTGACTATTGGTTTATTCTTTGTAAGGATTCCCTAATTAAATGGAATCAATAAGAAAATCAAATATTTTATGTAATACTTATAAGTTTTCTTCTAATTAGAAAAGATAACATCTTCAGTGTGTAATAAATAATAAGATTTAGCACTTACAGTGGTAGGTACTTCTAATATTTGCCTATTCTAATAAGAAAATGCTTTGCCAAAAATGACCTAACTGGGCCTCTATTTAAAGGATTAGGTTATTTTGTTCAAAACTATTATTTCCCGCTTTTTAAAAAAACCATTGACATTGTTACAAATCTTGACCTTTTACCTTCAGGTCAGTATCCTTAAATTTGATTGGCTCATACATGTCTGATCTTCAAAAAAATTAAAGTAACAGATAATAAATAGTTGCTATTTCATTCCAGGTACAGCAAGCAGACTAAATAGTTTGTAAAGCAAATAGTTTTAATTAAAGATGTATGTAGATTAAAAATGTTGTTATAAAAGTAATTGCTCAATATATAAATAGAAGTTAGTGATATTATATTTATTGGAAAGGTGTGTTGTATAAGTGTAATAAATGTGTGAACGATATCCTGGGTACTTGTTTGGAGGGACTCCTGTCAGTAGTTGGGACAGGAGTTTCAATTCGCTGGAAAATGTAAGTATCCATCTACTTATCTCTACTTACATTAATTAATTGTTAGTTTAGTTTCTCATCAGTCCTATTTATTTCATGTTAAGCATTAGCTAAGTTCCAAAAACTAAATTAAAAATACATTTTGTATGTTACCATCTCAGACATTAATATTTATATACTAATTTGGATACTGAGCTTTAGATAAATTATGACATTCAATGAGTATGCAGAAATGAATTAATTTTAAATCTCTCAACTAAATTACCTTTTTAACGAAAGTTAACTACAGAGAGAGGAGTGGAACGAGGGATGATCATGGCTGAAATAGTTGAATAAATAAACTATATGATTCAAATAAGTTCTTTTTTCACATCACTTGTCATGGTCATTGCTCATAAAGCTCATATTTAGAATTTCAGCCATAGAGATCAATGAATCAATCTAGTTGGTTGAAAATTTGAAAATTAACAGTTTTTGTTATTTGTTTGAAGCGCAAAGGGGTGCAGTTTTTTCATTGTACACTTTATTTAAATTTTATATTTTTCTGACACTATCTTGGGTGCGCTCATAATAATTATTTTAATTCGGAAGTCTGCACAGTTGCACTTTGGTTGCATTTCTTGTTTTGGATGTAAGTAAAAATTGCTTCAAGTAGCATTAGAATTAGAACATCTCTTTTGGTTGCTTTCATTAAAAATGTGGCAATGTCTGAGTGTTAATAATTTAGTATTATCCTAATTTATATATGATGTCTAAAATGTATAAAATAATCAAATCATGTTCAATACTCTATTATGTTTGAAAAAATATCTTTCATTAAAATAATGAAAGAACAGTAAATGTTCCATGACTGCCTCATTGGTAGAGTGGTCACAAGTACGACTGTCGGGCAAGGGGTCTGGGGTGGTTCGATTCCCGGGTCGCGCAAAGTATTACTGGGTTTTTTAAAAAGTACAGAGTCTAGAATAGTGCCCGGTATATGGCAATAGGCTCACCCCTTATTACCTTATTCATACCATAAATAGTGAAAAGTGGGTGTTATATTGTGCAGTGGCATTAAGTGCCATAATGTGTACGTACATCTGCCTACCTCTTCGGGGAAGAAAGGCGTGATGTTATGTTATGTTTAATGTTCCAATTGCTAATCCTGTTGGAAATGATTCTGGCATTGTAGCAGACATTAAAAGCATAGATCAATCAATCTATGTCGACAGATGAAAGTTGATTCACAGATTGAGAATCACTATGTAATTGAAACCCCACAGAATAAAAAAAAATACAACTTTAGCCCCTGTAATCTGCTTCGAAAATGTAGTACACTTCTTAATAGTCTTTTTTTATGGTTGAGCAAAAAGTATTTTCTAATTAGATATTTGAACTCTTTATAATATTTATTTGATGTATTCTGATTGCACAGTAACCATAAGATTATGTATACCCTACTCTATAAAAAGTTACCAAGATGTAAGTGACTTAGGTATTTTCGTAAACACTTGAATCATTATTTATCACATGGTCGCGTCTCCTAGAAAACAAGATTGTCTCTATAAAAAACGAGTCATAATTTTGCAAAGTAGGCGTTTTGAAATCTGTATTCAAAAAACTATGCCTAATGATACTCTGAACAGGCCATTATTAATGAGCTTTGTAACTAACGCTTTAGTAAAGAGGCAAGTTCCATTTTACATTGGAAGGTTGCCAGTATGCTTGTCGACACCAAACGCCAGTGGAAGATGTAGGGTGGCTTTGGTGGTCAGAAATAATAGATTTTTCTGGCTCTTTCTAGTTAGGTACTTGTTTATTCACTACGGATGTTTTTTGTTCAAGTCCTGTTTCCGTTTTAGCAGCTGCTATTTTGTTTATTGTTAAATACAATTTTTTTCTGTTATATTTCTTAACTCAAATTTTACGAATGTTCGCGAAATACGTAGTAGGTACCTTGGAGCTACTATCTTTTTCAATTGTGTCCCCAATAGATCTTTAAATATGTAATGTAATGAGTAATTAACTAGTTAGTTGTAGCAGGAAAAAATTAGAACTTACTTAGGTGTTAAGTTTAGACCCGTTTTTAGACGTTCGTTTAACGTTCGTAGATTTTTTATGAGACTAAACTTCTTTACTATATAAAAAGAAAAGAAAACATAAAGGCATTTTATCGTAGTCACCTAATCTCACAAGAGTCCTAATGAAACCTAAGTAACTATGAAAATGAACGTCTTCAAGCAAAACAACCCACTAACCCATTTTTGCCTGTTTTATACACATAACATTGCGACAGTTTACGCTAAGCCAATAATTTGATTAATATTTTTTTGGCACGAAGGCTCGAAAAAGGAGGTTTGCTGCATAAAGTTGTTATAAAAAATTAAATTCCTGAATGCAAAGGGGTCACGTTAGTGTAATATTTATCCCTTCAAAGTTCGTAGCTTGTTTAACCTACATCTTAGAGTAACCGTTGCAGTTGAATATGCCATCGATTGCGGAGTCTTTTATCATATTCGTTCTCAGAACTACGATCTGATAGTGAAACAGCTTTGAAAACCTCTACCATAGTACAGTTTATCTTTAATAATAATAGTTTACGAGTTTTCTAGTTTTATTATAAGAAATCAAACGAAATTGGCTAGCTTGTGTACAGTGGCGAATCGATCTTCCTGGTATCGTGATTAAACCAATTTCTCTAGAAACAGTCGCTCAAAATGGTCTGGCAGGCCCAACAAAACTTTGCCATGTATAAAAAGTGTTTGCGTGGGTTTATTTTCGGTTCACTATTATTAAATCCTTACATTTCATTCTGACGTAGCTTATTTTGAACGACACAAGGAAATTAACAATTCAAGACGTTAGTGGAAATGAGCACGCTTGCTTTACGCTGTTTTCATATTGTTGTCCAACGTCAAACCGTGCAAAATATGGCTTCAGTTCAGCGTGTGTCGATGCACTACGAAGTCTGCGAATGATGTTTTTCCTAGACTCGAATAATGACTAATGTCCGCAGTAAAATACATTGTACTCATAATTGTCCTTGGCCCCATCTATCTTCGACAATGTGTTACAAAAGCGATAGCTTTTGGATGACTCCTTGTTACAGCTCTTTATTACTCTTGAAATGTATGCTCCTTTAATTAGACCTCCAAGGGAGATCCTCTAAGGTCACATTATTATTAATGACGAGTTGAATAATGACACTAATATCCTCACATCTCCATTAATTATGACGCCATCTAGTCGGCTATGCACACGTTCTTTAACTTTGTATGAGAAACTCGGGGTCGATGTAACTTTCTTGCAAAGTTTTCTAGAGAAAACTACCAATGAATCTTTGGAAGTCATGAATTCTAAAAGATCTTCACTTTGTGATTACTTTAGAGCTCAGTGCTTGTTCTTCCTAAATCTAATTTGATGGTCTAAGTTTTAAACTTGACTTTAGTTTCTCTTCTATATTATTTCAGGTGTAAATCGAGTGAGTTAATCTAGTGGTACGTCCGTATACAGGTTTTTAGGTCAGGGACGCTTATATTGCCTGGTTTTTTCGTTTGATTGTGAAGTTTACCGGCTCTTGTTTGTTTGTTTTAAATTGACACAGCCCAGCCCTGATGAATATGTATCTTGTACAATGTGCCAGTCATTTTGTTAATAAAAAGAGCTGGGAAAATTACGAAGTATGCGTTTGGGGCGAGCGGTCGTTCGTTGTGATGTCTATCACCATTTCTTCCAAACAGTTGACCCGTTTAAGTGCGTGATAAAATTCTGCGTAATGTAACAGAATATTGAAGTAATACGGCATTAAGAGGAATAGCTTCCGGAACAGATCAAATTGGCAATTTCGGCAATGATTTCAGTTAGTAATTTGTTCGCTTTTCGTGGATATTTCTTAGGTCCTAAAACTAGGCTTACCCAAGTTTCGATTTCTTTGTGCGGTAAAGTACAGACGTGAACAGTATTTTACTTGTAGCATCTATCAATCCATTAGTAGCAAGACTCGACAATGTCTCCCGGGAATAGCATAGTCCTTTACCACAACGACAAACTTTAATAAATAATATCAATTAACGTTTAGAAATGGGAGCATTTGTCGCAATCATTGCTAGTTATTGCATGTTAAATTGGTCGTCTAATATTTGGCATGATTAAACCAAATACTTCATTTTAATTATTATAATTGATTTTGTTTATTAACGCTTAACTGATAATATAATTAAACGTGCGTATAAGGCTTAGAACGAATTCAATTAAATAATATTACAGTTGGACTCGTTAAAAATGAACGGTGACGGAAATTGCTGTGGCCTGATTATTTTTAAGTACTTTAGGTCCAATATTATCGAAGGAGAATCTCGTTAGTTTAGAAATCTATCTAAAGCATCTTTAGTAGAAGTTGTTATGTTGAAATACGTGCTTTTTATTGTTAAAGATTTTATGATGCCTGTCTTTCGAGTTGGTTCGTACTGAAACCATTCTGTAAACTAATTCAAAAAATCTGGGCCCGCAACGTTACCCTGAGCTAACCTTCATAAGTCAAAACTTTTTACAACTTTTATTTTTCTTCTACATAAATGTACTTGGTAATTGAATTTCAGTAGGTACTCTAGGATTGCGAATTTTATAACTAATTCTTGGCTCCGGTCGTACGATAAGATTTACGGTGTGTGTCTGCCCAACAGTTTTCGAGATGCAGCCGACTAACTCGGTCAGATCTGAATTGTACGTTTATGTAACTATGCCTATTACTGCTGTTTTATTCTTTCACTTAAAATTGCGTTAAGGTTATATTTGGTTTGTAGGTACTATACCTACACAATCGCCGAGCACGATATTCATAGTTTCAGATTATTAGCTTTTGATATAGATTTTTTTGTTACAACACGAGGACCGGAATTCTGTACCTAATAGAATGATGGAGAATATCTTTATTTCTCCAGAAATGGAATATATGTATAGGTATCTTTATTTTCTTAAGATGACGGGACGAAAATTAGGTATATCACAATAGCATGCACATTTTCCCCTAAGAAATCAACAGCCGTTTCCATGTAATTTATAGAGCACATTGAATAAATTGTTAGGACATAAAACTTCTAGTATTATTCCATCTTAGTCTAGTTTTATTCTAGTTACTCAGCCAAGCTTTAAATAAACAATAGATAGTATCACAGTATTATACTGATAGAATATTAGGTCAATCGAGGCTGGCCAAAATATCATAACAACATCTAGTTCCCCAGGGGCTCTATCTAATTTCACGCGCTTGAGGCTGGGTAAAAACAAGTTTTGGATTATTTCGCCGTTAGTGCAAAATTGGCTTTGGCTACAGGAAATTAATACTTACAAAGTTATCTCACTATAGACGATTCGCTTTTTGCTCTTCGAATATAGAAACGCACGTTTTCTTTGATATTCTCCATATTTCCACAAAGGCAAGGATTTTTGGTGACATTTGCTCCGTCCTTGTAGATCGATCCAGTAGATTAGCAGCCCTTACAAGCCCTTTAATTGATTTTGTTTGACCTCGGTTATTAACTCAACTTTTTATGAGCTTTCGAAGTTTCGAATGTAACTAAGAGCTCTTTTTAATGATACAATTTTCTTCGGTTGAAGGAAATGTCATAACTTTATTTGACTGGCTGACTTTGTCACGATTTTAGGCGACTACCTAAGTAAATTGGATTCCTTAACTCTTGATAAAAATCAGTTTATGCCTTTAATTTGCTGATCCATTTTGCAAATATTGTTCGATTTACGAGTACAATGTAAAAAGTATCATAAGCCAGACAACCGCTTCTGGCAATTTGCCAAAACTGAACGGAGAAGGATAATTAAAAGCAATTTATTGTACGATGGTTGTTGTAGCAAATCCAACAGCAGTATCGAGGGAGGGCAGGCGCTGGTGCGCGCTGCTGGGGCAGTATGTCGGAGGGCGGCGGGGTGTCCGCCGCTGGAGGGGACTCCTGCAAGACGAACCTCATCGTCAACTACCTGCCGCAGACCATGACTGAGAAGGACCTGTACGCGATGTTCATGACCATAGGACCTATAGAGAGTTGTCGAGTTATGAAGGACTTCAAGGTGTGTTTATCTTTTGGGTTTTTTTATTTATTTATTTAAGTTTTTCACAATTGCCTAAGGAGGACTTAATGCTAACAACATTCTCGGCCAATCAACCTTTGGGTAGTGCAGAAATGTATGTGGTAGGTGGTAAGCTGCAAGAAGGTTATGAGGGGTGGTGGCTATTATCCTAATTATAACAGAAGCATCAAAAGCAAAATACGTACAATATGGGTTCATGTTCGACTTGCTATTTAGGTAGTTCAGTAGGTAGTATGGAGCCGCGAAGGACTTATCGGGTTGCCAGGGCTTCGGCTCGAAGAGTAGGAGTAGGAACAGGGTGGTTTTTAGTCGGTAAGAGTCTGACACTCCCTTCCGCCTCACCCACGCGGGAGAAATCATTCGATGTTTGTCCCCCCTTAAAAACAAGCAGTAGGTAGTTCTTCAGTAGTTTTTGGTAACATGAATTTCTGTTTATACTCTATTTCCTTTGAACAAGTTATCTTACTTTGGAAAGGGCGTGGAGGAGTAAAGACTATATTGGCACAATAAAATTTGTTCTTGAAGGTTCAGGAATCGGTACTGTATTTTAGTCGTCGGTCTTGTCTTAGTATCTAATTTAGTCTACGACACTAAGTACAGATGGTGTTGTTTGTAGACTGGCTACAGCTACGGGTTCGGCTTCGTGAACTTCACGCGGGAGGAGGACGCCGCGAGGGCCATCGACACCTTCAACGGATACCAGCTCAGAAATAAACGGTTAAAGGTATTACAAACTTGTATTTGTCTTTTATAACTCTTTGGCATTTAGACCTTTACATGAAAGTAGAAAAAAATATGTATCTGCTGTTGAAATTCGGTTATTTTTGTAAATACTGTTCAATATGGACGTATTATATTGAATATTCTCATTTTGTGTATGATAGCATCGGGTCGCTAATCTTTTCCAGGTCTCATACGCGCGCCCCTCAGGTGATGATATAAAAGACACAAACCTCTACGTGACGAACTTACCGCGCGCCATCACGGAGGAACAGCTAGAGACCATATTCGGCAAGTACGGCAGGATAGTGCAGAAGCATATACTCAGGGACAAGAGCAATGGAACGCCGCGTGGAGTTGCCTTTGTCAGGTAAGCCATGAAAACGTAAAAAACTTATACGTTGTGAAAATTTTAAATATTTATGGCTTTCAGAAGCCCAAAAAATCTTGTCAGTGGGTCTGATCACGAATATGGTATCAGCTTTAGTATTTCTGGAGGGCTGATTGTAATTGCGTCATGTAAAATATTGACAGATGAATCTGGTCAAGATTCAATGTTGACCTATGAAGTACAAGAAAATAAAATTATATCGAGCATTTACTAGCTACTAGCTAGTCTTGTAGATAAAGACAAGAGCCTATTTACTGAGCCGTCACTAAATGTTAATACGGTACTCAATAGTATGTCAAATAAGAATGCATGCAAATCATATAATATGCGATAATTTTTTACATAAATCTAAAATTTTTTACAGATTTGATAAGCGTGAAGAGGCGCAAGAGGCGATAGCGGCGCTAAACAATGTGATACCAGAGGGCGGCACTGAGCCACTCAGCGTCAAGGTGTGTAATTATAAAAATAATCTATAAATTTCTAAAAAATATTACATTTTCTTGAATAATACTTAAATACTGTGGAACTTGTTCAGTATATTTTAATGTTTTTTAAATTGAACTTAAGTCTTTGTCTTCACTATTAGACTGTTAGTTAAACTTAATTTTACATTAACTTAAACTCTTATATTAGTACTTTCTTAACTCTTTAAACTTTAACATCTTACAACGTAAAACTATTGCATTGTAACACTATTTCTTACTAATTGCTATAGTTCAAACTACTCAACATTTTTTACTGTACTATCTATGGCTTGGACTCTTGTCTTTTGACACAGAACACAGACTAAAAATAAGTGTTCACATCAGTAAGTACAAGGTCATTAATCAAGTCATTAGTATCAAGAATCAACACTTACACTCATGGAAGTGACACAAGCATGTGAGGGGTGCATGTATTGGCGGGGTTGGGTCTAAATTATTGTTGATGTCTCTCTGCAGCCGACCAGCAGCGATGCTGTGTACAGACGCGGCGTGTCGCGTGCCAACAGTCGCCTGCGACTCCACAGTGACACAATGGTGCGAGCCAGGCTCACCTCGCTGGGGGCACACGGTCGTTCTTCTGTACCCCTCACGACCTTAGAAAGACAACCTTGTGTCTCTAGCCGGGTAGCCCTTAGTACCAGACGGTGCTGTTTTCATCATTAACCCATTACGCCTCCGCATTTTTTCTCTCGTTTCTGTTCTTTTATGGTCGTATTTTTCGTTTTTTCAGCGGTCACTCTGGTTCTTTTTTTGTTTTTGTTGCCTGGTCAGAAAATTGAACTGTCAAAATGGAACAGTCTTTCAAGTTGCCAATACTAATTGAGTGATTAAAATAGTTCTTTAAAATCTATTGAGAAGTTGATATTTCTGGTTGGGTTTTGAAAACGCTTCTTTATCGGTAGCTAATCTTCATTTTTCGGTAGTTGGTAAAATTTTTCTTTCTTTCAATCATTCCCACTAACGACGATATCCGCAATCCCATTTTTAAGTTGGATATCCATACTAGAGACGGCTGCATGTGTCGATAAGTTTTAACATTTATCGATGTCTGTCGAACATTTTGGGATTTTCCAGATATTTGTGTATGTGATAATTTTTTAAGTATTTAAAATTTATTCTTAATAGATTGTACTCTATTTCCAGGTGGCTGAAGAGCATGGTAAGCAGAAAGCAGCGTACTACGCGGGATGGGCGGCGGGCTTCCACCATAATAGAGGTGAGTAAGTACGATTGTTCCCTTATCGATAATTTAACGATAATCGACTTTTGTACCGCCATTAATATGACTTTCAGGCTGAGTATACGTTTACTTTTGTCTTCAAGACAGTTGTCACATGTCTTTCGATGTTTTTGGCATACATTTTAGCTTAATTTCTGGATATTGTCACTTCTTGGGAGAAACATGAAATAAAGTGTTCAACCGAATTGTGTCATTAGTTGGTTCCATGAATTTTAAAGGAACCAATCACCATCTCACCTTAGTACGTACAATAAACCCTTTGACGTGTGCACGCTGCCTTTGGAACAGCCTCAGTAGCTCCACAACGGCACCACAGTCTCGACCAACTCGACATGTTGCATAGCCGGCAAGATTACACGACCAATTACGGAATGTACGGTGGCTTGTCCAACCGATACCTCCGTCGTGACTATTTCAACCAGCCGTCTTATATGAGTCACCATCGCCCATTTTGAAAAGGACTTTATTGTAAGAAATTCCGTCTGACCGATACACGGATATAGACGGATGGACTTTTCATTTTAGTAGTGTAATATAGTGTTGGTGTTATTTATAAGGTGACTGTGGGAGTTTTTGAGGACTGGTGGGGGCTTGTATATTGCGGTTCTTAGACTAGGAGCTGTTATTTATAATATAGACCTCTTTTGAGTATGATTTGGTTATGGATTGGACTTTTAATTCGGTTTTGTGATGATCTGTTGACGCTAATGGTTTAAATTTCTATATCTGCAGTCCAAAGTTGACTCACTTATTCGTACTTGTACTACATTGGCCTTCAGCGTTTGGGCCAATTTCGTGCTGGTCTTTTTTCTAACAATTTAGTGTACCTTACACTAGGCTGTAAGGCCGATAATACACTTTATATTATTTGTTAAGTGTTGAGTAACTTGTAAGCACTGTCAGATACATTTGTAAGACATAATAAAAGATAATCCGTGGCTCGACCAGCCAAGTCGAGCATTGTAATAGGGTAGACGACTAATTTTTATTTTAATGTCCGTCTGGTATATTATTTAAAAACATTAGACACGTATTTTTTATTTTCTTACGGAAACAAATAGTTTAGAAGATATATTGATTTGAAATGTCGCGTGACGTCACTTCTCAGTACATTTTATACTAAGAAATGACGTTTTAGCCCCCACTCCTAAAGTTTGATTCGTTTTATCTAAGTATTGTTTTATTATACAACAAAATAAAAAAATACGTGTCTAATATTTTTTTATTACCTAAGTTACGGACTAATTATATTTTTAATTTTCATACCCTGTCATCATCCCCATTACTAAATTGAATTAAAAGTCCAATTACTGTTTCCTATCGTTTGTTTATCTGCAAATATGTTTGCTTAGATTGGTTTTGTTATATTTATTATTTTGTAGTAAAATATTTTATTGTAGTTTGTCCCACCCCCTAACGGTGTAAATGTTATAATAAGGAACAATGATAAATTAGATAGTAATCTATGGAGTTCTCAAAAATTCCCACAAGAACGCTCCTGTATATGAGTGATTTAAACCTTAATCATAATTTGCCAGTAGTTTTCCCAATCCATTGTTGAATTCCTAAGCTTCGTAACTATAATAGACACGACTTCTATTATCTGTGGCGACGTTCGACAGTGTTGCCAGTTAAGCAAGTAGTTTTTGTTGCAAGATTAAAAAACTACGACTGAGGTGATGTTTTTAAAAGTGATTGTGACAATTGGTGTGTTAAAAAGTGACTTTTTTTAGCTTGTATTGGGTTGAAAATTGTTTTCTTACTATCTCGGTTATCGTTAATTATGAAACACTGATATAATTATGTATTTTCGAGAAAGTTCATAATATATGCAAGTAAATGCTAAAGTGAAATTCCGTTCTTTAATGCTGTTCAGATTAATTACATAAGTTTTTGAATATAGTAAATTAAATTTTCAACTCAACACAAGGTAAATAAAACAAAACCTAAAATTGAAAACATATACAACTGAGGGACCCTGTCTCAGCACAAAATTCATGTTGTTAAACCTAAATTCTACAATTTTCTAGAACTTTCTATACTAATAGACGTCTCATAGTAAAAAATCGCAATGTTAACCAAATCGTAAAATATTACTTGAACAATTTAGTATTCATACTACAAAAAGCTTTAATTTGACACATAATCAATTCCAATGACTTTTGTTTTACTGCCTCTTTCCTAAGGGGACAGAATGTTGAACACGTTGCAAGACATGTTGTAAGGTCGCATGTTGCAGGCATGTATCTATCTACTATCTGGCTCTTGAGGTCATTGTCTACTAAATATATGAAGCAACAAAGACATACAACATGACTTGTAACATGCGACGTTTCACCATTAAGTTGCGTATCACGTTACAGGATTATGAGTGTAACGCATATTGCAGACATTCTGTTTCCGCCTAAATATTTATTTATAATGAATTCGCAGCTTTATTTGATAAAAAACTACTTTTGTTACTTAATTACATCAATATTGGTTGTATTATAAGCAAATGTTTACAGTACTGTTGGTCTGAACAGATTATGTATGTACTAGATGTCTGAACTATGAACGAAATCATTTAATAACATAAGTTGTGCAAATGTCAATTTATTAATTTTATCTTCGTAATGTTGTTTACACAAAAGATATTTTTGTTGTGTATTGCTCGTTATTGATTTGCATTAACATATTATACAAGATAAGTTTAAATTAATATCTAAATTGAATCGAAAATTACATTTGTTTGATATCAGAAGTTATCAAATGTTTGCGAAAAGTTGCGTATACTTGCGCAAAGATTCATATACTTGCGCAAAATGCAAGACGATTTATTTTAATTTGTTGTTGATAAAAATACATTTGTGTAAACAACGTTACCAGATTATCGGCTTATGAAAAAAACATATAATGTGCTCAATAGAAATAAATATATAATTGTCTGTTAAACAGCGTTGTAGCTAGATCGTTTGTATAAATACAAGCTTTTTGTTAGCTCACTGTTAATGAAATATGTGATTATAGACCAGATATGCGCTTTTACATAGATCTTACGCAGTTATAGTGTAACAGGTATATTTTAAGCACCATATTTTTGAAGCTGTTGGTTTTATGAACATTGCTGCAATATTTTGTTAGCTAGGTTAAAAAGCGGGAGAATATTACTGGGTTGGGTATATGTATTGTTTTGAGCTTGACATATCATACATAATGCTTCTAGCTTAAAGTGTTTAGTTTGCCTATCATTTTTCGTTTAGTCTGAACCATACAGAAACATTAAGCGCAACCGTTGCGCATCTTTTGCGCCACTCAGTATGGCAGAATCTGAGGCCTTAGTACGAGTTTGTTGTACGTTTAAAGTATTCGTAACGAGTTCGTGTTCGGCACTCTGATTGGCGGGCGCCAATGAACGAACTAATCAGATCGCCGAACGGGTACTCGTTACGATTACTTTAAACGTACAACAAACTCGTACTAAGGCCTCTGTAAGTGCAGTAGACATATTTCATAGTAACGCAATAAAGTGTTGAAGTGCTCATAATACAAAACTCGCTTTTTAACCTAATTTACAATTATTGCGCAAAATGTCATCGTTTCGTTACTATAAGCTTCGTATTAAAATTGTTGCACTAGATGATTATGTACAAAGTATTGATTTGAAACACATCGATAGTTTCATAATAAATTGGAAAGCTTCTGGCGTAATGAACGCTTATTTTAGACATACAGACTTGTCAGCTTTGCGCTTTGTAATATTAAAAATAAAGCCACATAACTATTTACTGCGCTTTCAAAGTTACAGCTGGTTAATACTTAATTTATAATAATGAAGTTTCGGATTTAAATCCCGAGAATGGCAACGTTTTGTTGAGTTTTGAATTATTCAAAGATTTCAAGATTCTACATTTTAACTCAACTAAACTAAAATGTCATGAAGTCAACTTTTGGAAATAAATAAAAAGTAATTATGTGTTAAATGGAGTTGACACTACTTTTGCCATCCCCAGCCGTGTCATTGGGTGGTGTTACGATTCTGTGACGTAATATTTATTCGTTTTTCTAGCGTTGTCCCCGTCTGCGGAGGGGGCTCCGTTGACCGACAGCGTTTCGGTCTAGCACAACAAGCAGCCAACGCTTCCTATATTAATTAAGACATTCGTTTAAAAGTTCTTTAGATAAATTAAAGCGCATGTGACTTACTATGATATCGCTATGTTTTGCGTATAAAATATTTTAGATTTATGTGGGTAGAGGAGTGGATGGCACAGAGAAATTAATATGGAGGAATGAGGTGATTTGAAAATATTTAAAATTGAGAAAACATAATTAAACTTCCAAAGATATTACTAGATTAGAGAAGCCAGTATATTCATATTACTGTATTTCGAGGTTCGATTTAAAAAATTAAGTACCTACAAACTTCTTCCGATCTCTTCGAGTTATGTTGATCTTACTATATCGAAAGGAGATGTGAACCTTACTGTAATATTGATAGGTTCAATTTTGAAGTCATTTTAATATTGATTTATCGTAAATGTAATTATGTTTTGCAAATAAGTGAAAAAAAGTTATACTTAGGATCTACCTATAAGTTTTGTAACTCCATTTTCATGACTCTGTGCCACTACACTATAAAAATTAATTATACATATTATGATGATACATATTTATATTCAAGTAAGCGTTCATTATGCCGGAATTACATTGACAATATGCAGCGGTGATTCGTACGTTCATTAGATTCGGAGTTTATGAGTGTTGTTCCCGTATCGACTACGTTCCTATTCCACTGTGATGGGTGTCCGGACTTAAGTATAGATTTATATTAAAATGGATAATATTGACAGAAGGAAAAGTATTCGAAATTGGCTTTAAGTAGTTATCGCACAGAATAAAAATATATAGCGTGTTACATTAGTCGATAAATCGTGTTACATCACTATATTTTCAGTGTTGCAAGACAGAATATTTTTTTTTAATCTATAAAGTTTAGCCCGTTTAAGCTTAGCTATTTCAATATGTAGTTTATATTATTATAGTGAATATATCGGAACAGTTTTAGTGTAAGAAAATAACGAGTAAAAGTATGGATTATGAAAGAGAGAGATAGATGTATGTCCTGATACCCATCACATGTTCTCGTCCCTTTCTAGGCTAGTACATAACTTGTATTATATTACTATATAACTGTAGACTCTTGATAAGATATCGAGTTCAGTGGGGGTTTAATTTAGTATGTTTAAATTAATTTTTAGTATTTATTGAATGCGTTTATGCAACTATGGAATAACTTTTTTTTATAGAAATGGAATAGATTAACTAAATGTAGGAGCTATTAAGTTTAATTTCTGTCTTGAGTTTTACGCAAAGTAACTTTGAATGGACTAGTAGATCAGTGTGGTTTTTTAAATGAATTTTAGAATGTTTGTTAGCATTTTTCTAGTCAGGGAATTTCCATTAGTCTTTCGTTAAGTATTTAAAATTAAGATTTCTTATTATTTTTAAGTAAAACTTAATACTTGAATGCTGAAAAGTTTATTATAAACGGATTCTTATAAGAACACAGCGGGATGCTTGTCAACATTCCCACCATAATCGCGCGTTACCACTCTTTGCGCGGGAAAGTGTACTAATCTGTCACATTTGACAGATGACGTCGTCAATATGACGGCTAGTCGATAATACAGATTAAACTAGAGATGTTCATTTAGTTAATTTTCGTCGTCTAACATTATGTTCCTATTTGTTGTTAAGTTTAGATAGGCTAAAGTCAAATATTCATTTTATTGTGTAAGTTTTCTAAGTTCAATATTCCTCACTGGACACGGGAGTAGGTCTAGAATGCTAGAACTAGTTTCCAAATGTGAATTGTGCCTAAATAAAGCGTATTACTAAGAAATGTACTATCGTGGTTCACCAACGTAAATGTTTGAGAAAATTTAAAACTTGTTAATGAGTTATAAATATAATAAAAAACTAAACACGTGTAAGTAGGGTGCTATTCTCAAAATTCAGGTTTGAAAATAATAAATAAATATGCTATCGAATATTGTAAAGTTAAGCTCTAGGTGATTGAGATAGCACCCCTATGTAACTTGTGTATGATAAGTGTGACAAGATTAGGAATGTGATTGTAAGTGCGCGCGCATCGATGGATCGTAGTAGTGACGTCATTTCTTTGTAAATATTCTATTCTTTTCATTTGTAAGTTTTTAAGTATGAGTGACTAGCCATCGCAATAATTCCCTTTACACCATTTGATTCGACTTTTGTCAAATACATGCGACTGATATTGTGTATATAAAATTGTTAGTTTGAAGTCGTACTTACTCGAATATAAACTAATTTCTTCAAAGAGAAAGGGGGAATGCGAATAAAACTGGTGTCCTGTTTGAAAAGGAAGACGTCAAAGGGACGTGTGTTACAGATGGACAAATGTCACATGTCATGCTTTTTAGTAATTTGAATGAATCCTATTAGTGAACGATACTAAATTATGACAATCACCTTCGTAAATCTTGTAGCGCTTATAATATTTTTAATAATATAAAATTGTTATTAAATATGTCTGCGTGAATGCTTGTTTGTTATGGTACTGTTGTTATTATTATGTGGCTGTAGTTTATATTATATTGTGTGGCGAATCTGTTGATTATTATAATTTTTAATAATAATATTAGAATGACGTTACTATGTTATTTCGTGTTAAAACTCGACTAAGCATACGGGCTGTTTACATTTAGTAGCAATTACAAAAGATTCCCCTCACATTGCTAATAGATTTGTTGAATAGATTTTGATTCTTAGGGTCTTGAGAAAAAAGGGGTTCTTAAGGTCTTAAGTCCTGTGTGGTGTATGTATTTTATAACCCTAAAATAGTGATGTAATTAAATACTGTCCTTATGATCGGCAACGCATTGGCACTTAGGTATTATATATTTTTTTTTGTCTTTGTCTAACCATACAACGTTGCTACCATCCGTGCGTCACTGCATGGGTGCCCACTGAAAATCAGTGCTGGGTGACTTGTATACCTGGCTTACACTGAGTGGGTGACCCTTTTAGCATAGGCATTTTGTCAGCGTCTCTTTTCTAATTCTTCAGTTTCAATTTTTCAACTCTTATACTTTTATTACTTCCACTGTCACACCTTGGTTGTCATTTTTATATTTTATTTATGCTGCATCATACCTGTTGCTAAATAAATGTTTTTTCTTTGTTTCTTCTTCTTTAGGTTACGGTGACTATTTGCCATCAGGCGGGCTGTAATGCCTTGTTCGCACTATGCTAGTAATTTAGTCAAGTACCAAGTATTTAATAACTCTTTCTCGTTTCGATTTTGGGACAAAAGCGAGAGGGATTTATTAAGCACTCGCTGCACGACTAAAATACTAGCATAGTGCAAACAAAGCATAAGGTATGTCCACAGTCACCGATTAGTAAAATAAAAAAAAAAATTGTAACGACTGTCCTTAAAAAATATATTTTGAGTCTAGAACATTGTTATTTGACAGTGTTATTTATTTTATTGATTGACATTGAGGAAATAAGTGCTAAGTTCTAAAATTGAAATGTTATAGTGATATGAAATGGTACGTGCTTTAGTCGAGTTTTGCTAGTTAGTCTTTGCTATCGGTTAACCACTATAATTGGCCTTATAAAAAATTATTAGCTAATAATAAATTAAGTTCTTCTTATGATAATAATTCAATTATTATTATTACGAATATTTTAGCTGTTATAAAACATATTTGGATAATGAATTATTTACTAGTTAGCATGTCGCATTTAGTGGTTAATTTTCCATAAATATTTGACTGTAAAATTGATTATGAAAGTTGTAGTTTTTGCTTATTCAAAAAAGAATATATGAGATATTATGATTATAGTATTTATGAAACGAAAATATTATTTTAACATTTAATTTTACGTTGGTTTGATAATAATAATTAATGCATTTTCTTTTTAAATATTTTGAACAAAACGTAGTGAAAAGTCACCTAAGGAATGTATTTTTTCTCGATTTTCATTCATCCTATTTATATTGGCGTAGTCTAATATATGTGGTACTGGATTTAGATATCCTAGACGTATTTTCCTAATACCAAAGACCTAAAATGAATAATGATAATTTTCACATTTATTAGACTATGTCATACTATAAAAACATTGGCTATATAGCGTTATAATATTTTAAAATATACAAAAAAAATATTAATACTTTTAATATTATGATATATAGTATTTTGTGATTGTATTAAAGTGTACGTAATAACTAAGGTTAGGTCGAACGAAAATGCAAAAGTATTCTTCCAAACTTTGGCCAAACGATAAATAGTGATGTATAAATAAATATTATTCATGAATTGTTGTATTTTTAATACCATACATTTGTATTTTTGCTGAACATTAGTCTTCTAATAAAATGTCTACTAATTATTTTTATATTACAGGTGATTACGCGTGGACGTGCGGTACTTGTATGATGCCGGACCCTTGGGAAAGATTTTCATCCCCACCCCTGCCCGGCAGTCACCCCACCACTCCAAGGAACGGCTGTAGACCCGGGGTCTGCGTTAACAATAGAGTCTACCCCCCTAACTACGTAGGTAAAGGGGCCTCACGCGCAAGTAGAGGCAGAAACCTCCCTTGGGCCCCTAATTATGGAGCCGAGGAACGCTACAAAGGCCAACGCTGTAGAAACGCACCCACGCCATATTGGTAACCGTTATAGCATTTCAAAATGGCCTCACGTTCCACGTTTGAATATTCAACTATCAAACGTTCGGGTTTAACGGATAGATTTTAAAAGGGGAACGAGATAGATTAGTGTGTTTTGAAACATGGACTTTATTCCATTAAAGATAGAGTAGTTTTCTACTGAAATGTTCTATCCCCTAGTACAAGACCGTACGATTCGCTTATAAAATAATGAAGAAATGTTTATAACTCTTAGGCAGTTGTGAATTTGATCTCAGTACTTTGTAAATAGTGTGAGGACGATTGCCGAGTCTAGTTATTTTAGTAACCTATACTTGCTTGGTCCATTATGTTACTATAGAATTGATTTAAGGCGGTTTTGATAACTTCATGAGTCGTAGTACATATTTTTTAGAAAATTTCGCGATTGGTCGGGTTCCAAATAGTATTTATCATGTGTAACGAACGCCCAACTCTACGCCTAGTCTTTGAACAGTAGAGAAGTGCCTCTGATATCTCCGATTTTTTTCTTATAAGTATGTAGTGTTTCATATAAGTAAAAGTTTATATATTATCTATACTGACTCATTGTGCGTTGTTCTCCTTTGGAATAAGGAACTTTCTTACATTGTAGCCTTCTTTCATTTATTTAATACCCATGATGTTGCGTTGCTTAACATACCAACTTACTTTTCATCAATTCAAGTCTTAAGCCAGCGACATAAAGTGCGTATTTGTGTGAGTCTTTATAACCCTCCCTAAACAGTTTAGTTATGGAAAAGTATACTCTATCTCTAATATGGTAATTATTATAGTCCTTATTTTCCCCAATGTCACTTCAGTACCTTCCTAGGTACAAGCCTCGACAGGAATCAATCGCGAAGTTGTAAATTTTCAACTTTATTACAAAAGTTTAAGGTTGAAATTCTACTAAACAAACACAGCTGTTGAACGAAAGGAGTTTTTAACATTAAGTTCTTTTCTATATTATCATATGGACTCAAGTATGTATGTAGGTTACAATTTGTAAATAATAATGTACAGATGTGTGTGTGCATTTTGCATTATTTGTTTTTTAAATGGAAATGAGTTTTGAATGCACTGCCAGTGTAATTAGTTGGATTTTTTAAAAAAAGATCGTGGGTTTAGCGATGGTATTTTAGAATCCTGGCTGCAACGGTGCGCTTGTAGGTTTTATTTGCTATTTATTTTTTACGTGGAAAGTCTTAACGAGGATTTTTTTTATCTGTTAATGGTTCGGTATGAAGATTTCTGGTGTTTTATTAAATGAATCGTGTGCTTTCACTTCTATTAGATATGAAAGTGATAAGAACAGAAAGATTATAAGCCTCATTTTTCAATCTCAAGTCGTAATAACACCCGAATTTGCCTCTGCTATAGTAAAGTCGACCTAAACCTACTGTGATCTTGGTCGATTTTGTGTGATGCAATTGATGTGGCAATGTGTGTTTACCTATAATAAGCCTTACCGTGTGGTATGAAAGTTCCTACTTAATATAACGCATCGTGTATAAGAAGATTTCCACGTAAAAAATTGATGGCGCCAATTTTTTTCACACGTTCGTCATATTTTTTCTAACTTGTATCTCGAAGTTGGTTTGTTTAGTTTTTGCTCATGATTTTTTGATGAATAACTATTTAGTTATATCATCGCCATGAATTTTGGTTTATTTTGTTATGGAAAATAAGTTTGAACTATTTTCATTACATTTTAGTCTTAGACTTTTTCTCTTCATTCAATATGGCGAATAAAATATGCTACTGCTATGCGTGAGCAGGACAGAATATGGCGTTAAGCTACTGCTATTCCTCTCTTTCGTGTTATGTTAGATAGAGGTTTTTAATAAGTCAATATGAAAATTGTTGAAAGTCATCAATTGCATTAACGTATGAAAATACAACTCGTCACATAAAAATTTCATCGAAATCGGTCGATCCGTTCTAGAGATATCATGCCACAGACGTTTTGCGTCGGGGGTTCAATCTAGTAAATTATACCTACTTAAGAGCATTAGTTTTTTTGTATTGTAACTTAAATTCACGGAATGCGAGATCACGAGATCTCGAGATTCTCCTCAAACAGTTACGTGAATAAGCCGAAAAACATAGGTATTTAATGAATTAGCTATATTAATTTTATTCTACACGTATTTATGAGCGTATGATATGATTTTATGTAATTTATCCAGTGGAAACTCAGATGCAGGGTGCAGTCAGATAAGAGGGCTTTAGTAGATACTAGTTTTACGTTAAAACTTGAAACGTAATCGAAACACACCGCGTTCGGTGCTCAGATGTATATGAGTTTCTTTTTCGTTTAAAGAAATCGAAACGAGACGGTGTTCTGTACTCTGATTGAGCCGGCCAATCACAGCGTCGAACGCGGTGACGTTTAGATCTTGTTCAGATTATAATAATAAAGTAATATGCTAGTCGCCATATTGAATGAAATGAAATGAATACAATTCTATGTATGTATTTTCTCCCTGTGTAACGTAAGACCTTTTTTTTTGTAAATTTTGTGTATTTTTTTTGTAATTATAGTTTTATTATTACGTTGCATTGAGTTTGTTTATTTACAAGACTTTCTTCTATATGTAATAACATTATAAATGTTATACGCTACTGTTTTGTTTTATTTCAGTTTTGTACTCATCAGTTTTCTTAAATTTATGTATGTTATCATGTTACACATCATTAGCCTTAGGCCCAACGAAGAAATGTTTAGTGCGACCATTTTTAATTTTGTTGAATCTTTGTCAGATAGTTTGTTATTGGGTTTTTATATAAGAAACAGTCATAAACACAGAACGCGCCCCAACAGGGCGGACAGACCACCCAATAAACTAATAAGGCAAATAGTTTCCAACCGTTCTATCTAAAAGTCATTAGAGGGGCCTACATTTAGGCCCAGTCCTGAGTCATGGAGGATCACCATAATCCGCTGCGCACGACACAATTACTCGATATGTTTGAACGTGTCCGAAGTACGAAGACGTCCGAAGTGAGAAGTGTCCGGACGACATGAATGGAAAATGACGTATTTTTGTGCAAGAAACCCTCTATGAAATTTTTATTAGTCTTGTTACTTCTGGGGCTCGGGTACATTTTCATAGAAAAGGAAATGTCATTCAAAAGAAATTGTTATGTGCAGTACAAAATTCGTATCTATTTACTATTGAAGTACTTACTATTATAGGAAGTCGGTACCTCGTGAGCAATAAATGTCGTATTTTGTGCACAACAATTTGAGTGCATAAAACCGTGTCCATACTTACATTTAACTAACGACCAAAATAAACCTAAAATCACTTAACTTGGTGTTTGACAGTTTAAACTGTCAAACACCAAGCGGTCACCGGTGACCGCAACCTATTGTTCTTTAATTGTGTCTACAAAACCGGTACTCGACGAGTTAAATCAAACCAGTAACTTTTATTTATTGCTGTTTTTGTAGTTAGTTCGGGACGTTGGGGGTACGGATAGATTTTTGACCAAAATAAAAAATATTCTATACGAAGATATAATAAATTCGTAGAAAAGTCAAAACTGTACATTTAATATTTTTTTAAATAATATTTGGGGTGCGATCTATAGTCGATACTGGAGCCAAAAATATGGTTTTTAGATTTATTTCAAACTAGCTTTCACCCGCGGCTTCGCTCGCGTCACAAAAGGATAAAAAGTAGCCCATGTGACATATACCAATACACACCGCGCCATCTATACCAAAACTTGTTTACCATCGGGAATATCATTTTTTTCCGGGATAAAAAGTACCCTATTATTTAATCCAGACTTCTATCTTTACGTCTGCAAAAATTCAAAGCAATCAGTTTAGTAGTTACGGCGTGAAAGCGGAACAAACAAACAAACAAACTCACTTTCCGATTTATAATATTATATATAGTAAGGATTTTGTATTAATAACAGGTCGGGTCAACATAATATAGGCTACATATTATCACGCTATCACTTACGGGGTAAGCGCAGTAAATCACTATTCTACGCGAACGAAGTCGCGGGCACAGCTAGTGTTGAATATCTTGGAAACTAGCCACTTTCGGACCAGGGACCTCAGGGCTAATTTTGTAGGATATTAGTTGTATTAGCACCTACCGAGAGGAGTACGTCGAGTTATAAGTCACCCTGCATAAATATAGGTTTTATATTAGAATTTTAGGTCTGGATTCTTTATGAAATATAGTATATACCCAAGTTTTTGTACAGATTTGTTTTGAAGTTTCTTAGTAGTTAATGTTGTAAGTATATGTTGTAGTTGTAGGCACTAAGATCACTCCTCTTACAATTGGGGGAGGAAAAGGAGTGTAAAGGGTCTGCTGTAAAATGTGACAAGGTAAATAAAAAATTAACTCAATTCTCTTGTATAATTGGAATGTATTGATTGTTCATAATTATAATTATCAGTCTAAATAAATACAATATTTTAATATCAAAACTACAGTATTATGCACTTTGTTGGACATTACTAATTCTATAAAGAGAAAAATATTTTCTTGTGATTTAAACAAAATAGGCATGCAGTCGAAATAACAATTGCAACGATTTCAAATCGACTACAGCTTTATGTTGATACAATAAGGTTGCATATCGTATGTCAATGCCTTAATAAGGTACTTAAGATATTACGTTAATTAAATTGTCATTATCGCTCTCCCTAGCGCACAATACCTTTAAAGGAGGAATTACACTACATGTCAATATTTTCCAGTAAATTGTACTTTAACATCTTGAATACTAATGCCATATTCAAATGTAACGGTTAACGCCATTCTTTTTGCACTAATATACCTACTTGAAAACTATTGTATTTGTCTTTCTATCTCTTTTTTGTATTGTTTAAAAGATGTAGGAAGACGTAACAAACAAAACAAGAGTGGCCTTTAAACATTAAGGTGATACCTAACCTTTCAAGAGTCAAAAATGATATCGACTTTTTTACTGTGACAACATCGATTAATTGAGATCAAAAAGTCGTAACAACATTTACATTATATTATATGTCTTTACGTCCTTTTAAACTCCAAGTTTTACTTATTCTTACTTAAGTTATTTTTGCCATTATCGTCAAATCTATAAATTATTCCTAACATTTCTTCTTACGTATTATAAATTCGTCTGCTATCAATAAATTTAAAAAAAAATAACCTATACTAAAAGAAAATGGCTGCCGTTTCAAAAAAATGGCTGGCGTAGCTTTATTTGCAGACTAACTTTGTTTAGGTTATCCCAGGAGGCTTCAATTAATGGTTCTAATTTTCGCCAATTTCTATGATTGTGAGCAAATATTCAGGTGCTATAAGATATAGCGTGACTTAAATTCGTCTTAAATCTTAAGCTTTTAATGGTTATATTATTTTCATCTATCAAAATGAAAACAGATGATATTAGACGAAAGATTTTTGCGCAGAACATCATTTGCGCAAATATACCCACTTGTGCAAAAAATAACAGTTGTGCAAAATTGTAGCCTGCGCAAGATTAGAGCAGCATTCGCTTCGTAAACAAAATTAGTCTTCAAAAACGTTACAAGATCAAAAATCATAAACATTCTGGTAGATCCATGGCAAGAATTTTGCTAAGTCTGTAAATATGACGTAATGAGATGGATCGCAACGGTACTCGTTCTGTCTGGCTACCGACAAGGAGACGAGACCACGAAGGTACCAAGTGCCTCCCATCCTGAACACCATGCCGCCACCGCTGTCGCCGTTGCAGACTGAAGTACCTACAAATTAAAGGGGGTGAATTAGAAATGTACATTACATAAAATAAGTAGGTAATTCGTTCAAAAATTGGAGGGTACCTAAATACAAAAATAATGCTCATTTTTCGAACTTTTTGGTATTATAGCTTTAAGGTAGGTGACTACTGTTATTTGGTTGAGTCAACTTCAGTCTATGACGACTTAGAGCCGATTTTTCCAACGCCAGATAAATTTTAACTGAGGAATTACCTTTAATATTAGTTAATACTTCCATAATAAAAACTCAAAAGTCAATACATAGTAATTATGTTTAGGTAGGTACTTTTTTTAGGAATTATGTATTTATAATAATGAAATAGGCGTTTGAAACTACAGATTTTTCAAAAGAATTTGCGTAAAATTTTGACTGTAAATTAATTAAATTATAAATAAATTGGCATGGTTAGGAAATATACATAATAAACAAAAGTTAAAGGAGCTCGTCTCCTCTGTGATTCGAAACTAGTAGAGCTTTTCTCAGTATATTCACGTGAGTAACCCGCAGTTTTAGTTAATTTAGAATGTCTCACAATAGTTATTATAAAACAAAGTCAAAGGCCTAATTATATTCTAACAATCATGCATAGATTAAAACAATTAAAGAAGCCTCATGCCTAAATATTCAATGATCAGTCTTTCTTTATTAAAGTAGGCATTTGCATTGTCTCTTTTATGCAAAAGTGCGATAGCATTAGTAAATTAAGCACTAAAGTACATAGATTTCATATATGCACTAAAAATTAAAAAGCTATCCGGTAAATCAAACCAAAAGTACGGACTGACTTAGCTAAAGGGCATAAGATTGTAAATTAGTTCCACTATGCATAAGAATGTTATTTAGTTGCATAGATAAGAAAGAAAAAAAGAAATAAAAATTGTTTATTTGCACACCGTCACAAAGTACAATAACACACAAAAATTATTAATACAGTGAAGACGGCGCAAAAAGGCCAGGTAAAGGTAGGTACTCAGCTAAGTATCGTAGCTGCCATGCAGCATTTTACGAAGAAATAATAGTGCATCAGTGAATAAGTAATTTAGAGTAGATTATTAGCTAAAGGTACATCTATATCTAGCTACTAACTGGGTACCTAGGTATGGAGGTAGGTATTATTACCTATGTAGAGGTAGAATGCACCTTGAAACCTATTTCGTTATCGTCCCGCAGCAAAACATCTTGCCATAAGAAGTATTTTCGATGTTTTAAAATTAAAGTTGTAATTTTTTTTAGGTTTCAAACATAGTCTCTTGGAATTATACGAACATGAAACACTCACAGAAATATTACTTTATTACATGTATGGAAACACACTAGACGTAAATTTGTAGGCACTATTGGCATCAAACGTGTCACCCGACGAGAATACTTCTCGAGAATCACATGGCGTGTGCTATAAGTTCGTTTGCGCTTTCGAAGTTTGCTTTTTGCAATGGTTCACCAGTTATTTTTTGTTCTAAACATTTTATTTCTTTATAAAATTATTGTATTGGGCACCAAGACAGAACCATTTTCATTTTTATTCAGGACAAGAACGAAATAGATTTCACGGTTTATGTAGGTACCTATACTTATTTATAATCTTTTGATTGGGAAAAAATTACAGATAGAAAAAAAGTTAGGTGCTGACAGGAATCTAACTCATATCTAAGTAGACGCTACTACACAGGCTATAAGGCTAAAGTTAGTCGTGCATTAAAATAAACTGTTTAATAAAGCAATAGTGCGAGCAAGCGTGCCACCATTACCTAGTTAGGTTATGGAATAAACTAATCAAGTAAACATACTTTCCCTAACTCCGGTTTGTTCATTGAAGTGTCCTGGAAGCAATTAATATAAGCATTTTATTATGCTAAAGACTACTTAGCTATGTACAAAATATTTTAGGGTTGATCTGGTTTTTTTTAAATGGATGGCTAGGTGCCTGCCTACGTATTTTATTTTTACTTAATTGACACTAGGGTAATTTTAAGTTGTTAAGAAAGTCAGCCAGCTCAGTGTTTAAGGGGGGGACTGGGAGATCAACTTAGTAGAGACACAGTAATCATTGGTGCTGATTTATTTGTTAAGAAAATTATGACAATAGGTACCTATCGAGTCTGCGCGAATTCAATATTTATTTTCGTATCCGCATACTAAATGGTTTGGCTCATAGGAATGAGTTGTTCAGGGATTTCTTTTATTCTATACTAGGTACAAAATTGGAAAAACAATTTTGTACCATATAATTTTGTACTATATTTTGTACAATTTTGTATTAAAAATTAAGTTTTAGGTAAATGATAGTAAGTAAATGCCAATGTTAACTGAATAAATTGTTGATGACTAATTGGTGTTTTCATCGATTTTATGAACGTAGGTATTTTGAAGCACTGAATGATAGGAACTGATTCTATTCATGAAGAAATATAGTTAATTGAAGGTACGTAATTGACGGTCACAACGAATTTTGAATATTGACATGAATCGAAATTTGGATAATGATATGCTTAAAATATGCCCAAGTAAAAGATACAAGAAGACACAGCAAGCGCGAAAGACAAAAGATAAGCCTGTAATTTTGTATCCAAAACCCCTACCTAAATGAACCATGTAGAATGTTAAAAAAACCTGGATACATTTAGAGATAGACGAAACTAGTTCTTCGCGTGACTTCTTTATCTAAGTCGTCTGCTCCAGAAATGAGACACACAAAAATAAACTCATTCATTTCATTACATACATAAGCTTCATGCCTGTCTCCCATAGGCAGAGAGTATGGAACGCCAACTGTTACGGTTGCTATGCTACATACCTTTTTCGCTTCATCAACAGTCGTCAATCTTTTCATGCTTGCTCGTCGGTTAAGGGTACTTTTCATTTGGCATTATTTTATTTATTACCTATGTATTCTTTCATTTCATTACAGTAAACATAAATACCCCTATAATTTATATTATGCTATAAGTTTATAAAAAGTCAAATACCTATCTTACCGTCTCTGTATCCAGCGCAGTAAGTATACTCGGAAGTGAATCGCACGAAGAATTCACTGTACGACCTGATGCAAGTCTCCTGGCTGACTACCGGCATCTCTACTAGGCTTAATTCTTCTGTAGCTACGCCAGTCTCGTCGAAACCCCAGCCTACCACCTGGAAATTAAGAAAATATAGAGTTTTTTTTTTAAGGGGGGAAAATCATCGAATGACTGCTCCCGCCTGGGTGAGGCGGAAGGGAGTGTCAGACTCTTACTGACTAAAAACCACCTTGTTCCTTCTCCTGCACGTCGAGTCGGAGCCCCGGTTACCCGTTAGGTTCTCCGTGACAAAATATAGAGTTAGTACCCAACCAAAATTATAATAACATCTACAAATGTAAGCAAGCTGTAAGTACCTAATTCATGCTTTAACCCGCATCTCTCACTCGCTCTTTCGTAGCCTAATATTAGATCGCTTTATATGAGTAAGATTAATATTTGCTCCAAAAGATAATACATTCTTCACTTATACCTACATACCTATCTACAAATTATAAGTAAAGGTTAATAGTATCGGCATATATTTAATTACTTTGTGAGATTGTATATAATGAATGATACATTATTGAAATTAATAGTAAATAAAAACAACTTAATCGAATAATCAGATAACGTTACATGGAACGTCAACAACTTACGCTAGAACAACGATATTAGGTATTTAGCTCCCTGTAGAATCCTACATTTAAAAGACCAGATTATAATCCAGTCCATAATTAAGTAGCTAGACATCTACTTTTAAAATGAGTTCATATTTTTTTTTATGTAGATTAACCAAAAATATGAACTCATTTTACATATTTTACTAATCTTCCACAAATTAGACTTTACGTCGAAAGTTAAACGGTTCACCCTCACAAGTCGGAAGGATTAGTATACTAATCCATGTTAATACCTTTCCTCTCGCTAAAAACCGTTTTAGGTTTTCGTAAAACCTTCATATAAGAACATACTTAATTAAGTTTATTAAATATGTAAGTAGGTGAGGCGTTTAGGTATGGTAATGCCTTTTTGTATGCTTCATATTTCATAATATTAGGTCATACTCTCTTTAAGCGGGCGTTATATTTTGTTTTGGCCATTTAATTATAAAAAATAATGTAGGCAGGTACCACGTCTGTAACTTCTAGAAAGGTAACACAGAGGTAAAGATGGACCTCAAGACTTTGTCGATATAATCGCATAATAAACGCTAACGATTCAACAATTAGGTTTAAAAAGATTAAATGCTCTTCACCTATTATTTTGACAACTTATAACAATAAATTTCCCGTTGGCGCATTTGCAGCTAATTAAGAGAAAGTGCTAATTGACCGTTCGCAAGTAAAGCGTCGGATAATTACGGTATTCGACAAAACTGCAGCTGCAGCTAGTTTCCAGGCAGAATGAACGCTGCCTTTGCCCGCTCCATCCATAAAGTTACTAATTGACCGCTCGCACCATAGATCTGTTTTCTGTCCGACTTTACTAATCTGTGGCTCAGGTTTGGCGCAATTTGTGCGCTATTTAATCTGTTTGAAAACTTTTAGTTGATGGATACTTCATAATAATTGTATCTAAGGGTAGATAGATTACCCATCTATATAATTAAGTAATTAGATTCTTGTGTTTCTTAGTTAGAATTTGCATTTTAATGCTATGTTTGTGTTCTTAACTTCTTTTTTGTAAACACTTACCGATCCCTTCTTCCCGATGACATTCTTCAAGGATGTGTCGGAGTCTGGCCACAAACAGGCAGGTCTGACCCAGTCGCTGTACGTGACTGTCTCCCTGAGCTCCAATATGGCGGCATCGCGGCTGAAGGTCGTAGCATTGTAATCTGGGTGGACTATTATGTTGCTGACCTGGAAATACAGATAATCAATTTAGAAAAAGTCACAGGTATATAAGTAAGTACCTATAAGTAGTAGTAATAAGTATTATCAATAGGTTTTTTCTTGTGTTGTTAGTAAATGACAAATATCTACTCCACATCAGACTCAGACCCAAAACAAAAAATTATAGATCATCCAAATCACTAGTTAATCAATGTTCCATGAATAGTCATTCAGCTACTGCATCAGCCACTTATCAGAATTGAAGTCCTTTACCTCGTAAATGTCCAATTATGAAAAATCTACAACATTTGTTCATACAAACTTAGTCTCTAAACATCGGAATTAAGGTCTATAATGGTGTAAGTTAGGTGTACAGCTTGGTTCTTGACTAATATTAACAGAAAAAACTAGGTAATAATTATATGGGCCCAGACTTTGAGACTAGAGGAAGTTTTTGGAAAACCGAAAAACCTAAGTCATATCTTTATGCTTTAGGGACGAACAGCCATTATTTCATGATATCGCAGATTCTAGTAATAAATATTCAAGTCAGGGGTTGCATAAACAGGGACATGTTACGTACGGGTCCCTAATTGGCAGTAATGTGGCCATAACATGACATTCCCTGTCCGTACGGGTTGCACTCATTTGTCTCTTAATGTCTATCGTTAAGCTTTATTTTTGTTTGCCTTTTTTTTATACATGTTTTCTTTAATTTATGTTTATCTGTAATTCTAAAAATGTTCAGGATTTTCTGGTTATGAACCTTTTGTAGTTGTTTATAAGACTTAAATTACTAAACTACGCGTACCTAACCCCCATTTTTTTTAAGGGGGGAAAATCATCGAATGTCTGCTCCCGCCTGGGTGAGGCGGGAGGGAGTGTCAGACTCTTACTGACTAAAAACCACCCCGTTCCTTCTCCTGCACGTCGAGCCGGAGCCCCGGTTACCCGTTAGGTTCTCCGCGACACCTAACCCCCATAGGAGGGATAGAGAGAGACTGTAAATCCCCAAATTGTCTTAAATCTATATTTATTATGTTTAACCCTTAACTTTGATCATGCTAAGATATACTATCGGGTTATTTCAGTAATCCCCAAGCATTTCAAAACAGCATTATCACCTCTACCCACTAGTGTTAATCACCGTCAATAATTTATTCACCCAAACCTATTCAAGGGGTTACCACCGCAATCGATCAGTTGTAAATTTAGCAATAAACAGTACCCCTTAGTCACCAGTTAATTAATCTTGTGGATTTGGTCCTGTTTTATAGTTCGTGGCTTTAACAAACAAAAGAGGTATTAATCTATTTCCCTGCAAACGTTGGTCGAACTCTTTGGTCAGATTGACGGGAAATATTTAAAAATAGAATTGTTATGTCAAGTTGTGGCGCTATTTTTTAGGTTGCGTTCCCAAAGGTTAATAACGAAGGGACTAAGACTCCACTGTCCGTCCGTAACCAGCGTGATGGACAGATACCTAATGTATAATTTTGTTGCTGCTAAAACAACACAGACTAAAACAAAATTAAATAAATATTTAAGACAGGGCATTCCGACGAGGCTCCATGCAACACAACAAACGTGATATTAGTTTTCGATAAACACGTGTGCAACGTGCAGAAAATGCAAATTATTTGACCTAACCTTTAAAAAACTTTAAACAATTTTATTGATGATAATAATAAAAATATTCATTTATGGGGAGCATTTTTCTTATTAATTTCAACTTTTTAAGGCCTATGTAAGGGTTTAACACCTTAACTTTAAGAAAATCAGCTTACATTCAAGAAAAAGAAATGAAACCGACTAAGTAACTAATTAAATTATTTGATAACCACTTTAGTACGCAATAAAAGAGGTTTTAATTATAAAATTCTCATAGAGAAGGAGGCGAGTAGCGAGTACTACAGCTCTGGAGTTTCTCAAGTGGTTGATACGAACAAATAAAAACTATGAATGTGGAGAGTTGGAAGTTTCAGGAGCTCATTAATAAGGCGTATAAGTTTTGTAGAGGGTTCAAAGATCAAATAGTGTTTTTAAAGAACTATGTGACTAAGAAGTATTCGACTAAATAGTCGAGTATAGTATTTTATTTGAGAAAGTGTATAAGTACCTATATGTTTAATTTTTTGACCGTAATGATGAATTTGGACTACCTCCTTGGGTACTAAGTAAATGGTCCCGGTTCCAATTCCCAGGTCTAACACCCAGTCGTCAATAGTTGGTAGATTTTTTAAAAGTTATAATTGCATAATGGGACACGAAAATTGTCCCATGTTACGTGGGATTCATAACAAAACTGGGGAAAAGTGGGAGTAACATTTTTTCCTACGTGGAAACCCTTCGGTGAATAAAAATGGGAGACATAATTAAGTCCTTGACTCTTCTGATTCACTTCGTTGCGGGAACCAAGACAGTTATTCATGTCCCTGAGACGCGCCGGATTTCAGTGTTCCGGTGTTTTCATGGTTGTATCTACTGTAGATCCTGGCTTACAGGAGTTGCAGCGGTTTTGAGAGGTTGTGGCGAGCTTGTCCCCATTAAAAAAAACTCCTTGACTGTCGGTATATAAGTGTTGAAGGCAAATCTTCCGCTAAATAAACACATTATGCCGTGCATAAAATACTCGAGGATACTTAGGTTCAAGAAATTACTTACAAATTTAATCTGGACGCCATCGACAGAAGTCCTAAGGTTATGTTTCCCAAGGTAGACGGTCAGGGTGTTGCGGTCCACGATCAGTTGTGACGACTTCTTGGTGACGCAGTGAGCTGCCGTAATCACATGCTTGTGGCTCACCAGGGTTCCTCCACAGATGTATTTGTTGTCCACCGTCTGGAAGACAGGAGTCAGTGGTATTAAGAAGGAAAATTGTAGTTTTTGGGATTCAAGAGAAATGTTCATTATCAAAATACAATACAGTTACGCACAGATGATTGATTGATTAAATCCAAAAGCTAGCCACTTTAGTTTTGAGAATATTATCCATCTTATGAATTCTTAAAAAATCTTTCCTTAAGAATTTTATGTGAATTAAAAATATAATATAAATAAGTCTATATAATATATATAAATTATGTGAATGAATGGCATTTAAAAAAAATATTAAACAAGATTTTTTATTTTAGAATTACTATTCTATTCTACATTTATATATAGATGTAAACTAAATAATAAATAACTAGAGTTAAAATCACAGATGTATATATCTGTGGTTAAAATAAATAGAAACTAAAGTATTTACAACTAAAATTTACATTAGAAGTACGGAAAAATGAGATATAGAAATAATGGCTGTATTAATTAGAGGATGGGAAAATCTGGCCCCATTTTTACTTTAGCTATAACACAAGAGTTTTGAAAGCAAATTGTTCATTTATTATATTTATTGTCAGCCATGATCGTCCCACTGCAGGGCAAAAGCCTCCCTACCCCACTTCCCTTCTCTTTATTTTAAAAGCAAATATTGAATTGAAATCATAACATAAATTAGGTTCAGTTACTCTTACCTGAGTCTGGTACAAAGCTATCTGCCACGGCCATTGTCCTTCCAAAGTTGGAGTTCCATTGACCACCAATGGGATTGGGTTCAACACCACCTTACCGCACTGAGCCTGTCGGAGTTTAAAACAATATTATAGACAGGTCGACAGACATTCTAGTTTAATATTAGTACTTTTTGTTGGTTTTCTTTCTACAAGTGCATGGTGGCTACATTTTGTGGTTGATTTTTCTGAAATGTGTGGTTGGGTTATACAGTAAAACCTGGTTAAGTGAGACTTCAAGGGACCTGCAATGTAGTTTCACTTATAGAGGTATTCCACTTAATCAGTGTCTCAGATATACAGGTACTTATAAATAAATATCTGTCTCATTTACAGAGGGTTCCATTAATAGATGTGGACTTGCAATTACGTGTGGAATTTGTGGGTAGAATAAAAATGCGTAAACAAACAATGTTATCTCAGTTACAGAGGTTTATCCATATAAAATTTACTCGCTGTCTCAGTTATAGAGGTAACTATGATGATAAATCGAAAGAACAAATCCCAGATATAGAGGTTTACCTCGTCCCACTAACATAGGTAATTCAATGCCAAAGTGTTGGGACCTCAGCATGAGTTCCACTTATTGAGGTTTCGCACTTATCCAGGTCCCACTTAACCAAGTTTCACTGTAATACAATAGATAAAGAAAAAATATTTTTATTAATTAATCTGATCTAGGTATTGTATTGGTCTCTAGGGATGTGCCGTACCAGGCGGTGCAGCGTGGGGGCTCAGGAGCAGGTCTCTTTTAGAGGACCCGGTGCTCCTTACAGGTGCAGAGGGTGGCCACCAGGGTGGTTTTAGTGAAGTACGAATCCCACACTCCCTAGTCTTTCTCCCCAAAGAGCTAGGAGCCTTTGAAGGATTCCCCCTGTCATTAAAAAAGGTATTGTATTGGTAGTTTATGGTCATAGTGACCTTTTACCTAAAAGATATGTGCTAGGTTGTTAGGTACCTACTAATATTGAAGATTTTGAGAAATATATGTTTTTACGATGGGATATTTAGTACGCTTTTAGTATACAACAGAAACAGTTCACCTACTTAATATATCATTGCATAACGCAATTCAGATAGTATGTAATAGATTGAATCGAAACATGATCAATTCATTATTATTTCGATAATTTTGTGGTTTTAGGAACCACACAACACAATCTAGTTTAGCTCAATAATACTAATTACCAAATAATTTTCGGGAACGCATCGGAAAATGATTTTATTGACACGATAATCACATATACAACCACACAGTCATATTAACCACATTGAAAATGTTATCAACCACAAAATGATCAAATTAATTTGAAAACTTGTTATAAAACTGGTCCTGGTTATTAATAAGTAATTAATATTGTAGGAAATTATTAAATAAAGTATTTAATTTATTTGTTATTCAGATGAAATAGGAATGTCATTATAATGCCCATACCAAGTTTGATGAAAAAAGAATACTGTATTTAAGAAGGTTGTATTTTAATTGTATGTATGTATTTTTGTTTTCTAAGTATAAGAGAGCCATGCTTCGGCACGAATGGGCCGGTTCGACCGAAACGATACCACGGCATCACAGAACACCGACGTGAAACAACGCTTGTGTTGTGTTTCGCCGTGTGAGTGAGGTTACAGGAGGCCCAATTAACCAGCCCCCCCTCCTCTCTTCCCAATCCCTCAATCCAAAACAAAAAATCCCCAAAAGGCCGGTAACGCACTTGTACCGCTTTGGTGTTCTGGGTGTCCATGGGCGACGTCGATTGCTTACCATCAGGAGATCCGACTGCTCGTTTACGGCACATGTCACATAAAAAAGTGTAAAATGATCGATGTAGTAACATGCTTGACTTTCATTTTGAAATGCTTAATTAGTTTATTTATTTTATCTGTATGATCTAAGCCATTGGAGTCTACATCATATAGGACAGGGATTCTTAATAATGAAACCAAAGACTTACATAATATTTGGTTTTAATAATATATGAGTAGTTAAATAAAAATCGAGGGTTATTCACGTCAATATTCTGCGATAAGCGCTAATAGATTCGAGCCACAGAGCGGCTCTTCTTCATGAGCAGCGTGCGCAGTCGCCATGCACGCGGTTGTAGACAACTAGTAAAGCTTTTCTCAGTATATTCACGTGAGTAACCCGCGATTTTGTGTTAATTCAGTATGTCTCACGATAGTTATTATTATAAAACCATGGGTAAATTTTCTGAACAATACTTTGGATTCTACTCAGCATATAAAGCTGGTTTATCACAATTCACAATCAAACACTGCAAGGATCGTATAGGGCCTTGCTTACCATTTTATCTATTGTACTTACATGCAGGTTTCAAGATTAGTTATTACTTATATTGGAAAGTTATAAAAGAAAGAGGTGGTCTACGAATTACGATAGCTTTTCTAATAGAATAAGGAATTAAAAGAGAGATATAAATAGTAGAATAAGTTAGCTATTCTACAATGTATGTTATGCTAAGTGTCTACCGCCCGAATACTGAAAGGTTACTCAATTTTAAATTGTACTTAAATATCGTGCCATCTCTATCATTTTACATAGAATACGTAGAGACAGTACTTGACTTAAGCGCCATTTTAAAATTGAGTGTAGTTTGAGTATTGCAGCGTAAGTCTACATAAGTTTTCTACTTTCTACAAGTGCAAAAGGAACATAAGAAAACAGATTTCTTAACTCAAGCAACGGACTGTACTGTAACTGCTGAAAATATAAACTTTATTATTATTATTATACTAGGCTTATTAATAAAATGGTCTAAACATTATGTCTATTAACACGTTCTCGAAAACGGCCCTTACTTTTCTGATGATAGTAACACCTACTTAGTAGATAAATATGTTTTATTGTGGTGAGAACTTGATTGAACTTGACTAGGCCATAATATGTTTGGAAAAATGGTTTTTCTTTTTCACTTTAGTAGAACTCGGTATTACAAAAACAAAGATTTTGACCTGTACGGTCTATCGGTATAGGTGTAAAATAAGTATAGGTATATCTACAAGTTCTCTTATTTTTTTTATTTTACTATTTTAAATGTCTAGATCGGACATTTTATTGTTATTAGTCATAGTTTTTTTTAAAATAAACTTTTATTCACCTAGATTTTTCAACGAGTGCGCACGACAGAAACTAGTTAGTCTTCAAAATGAGTTAAACAGGTTTTTGTATTCAAATTACTTACTAAAATATTTACATAAATCGTATTCCAATGCGTAACTTGGGAATTTCTCAGGACTTTACCGATTTCCTAAACGAGTTTCTTCATTAATGAAAGAATAACCCGATAAATTTCACGTTTTCAATTGAAAAATTAGAAAAAATTAGCCATGTTTTTAGTCTTCTCATGTCCGAAATTTTGTTAATAACTTTGTAGCTAATTGTGATGCTAAAAGACATAGTTATTTAATAAATTTTGATAGATATAGTGGTCGTGATGCTTGTCATGCATGAGGGTGTTTGAAACCTACCAACGGCAAGTACCTACCAATGTGACTTTTCCGAGTTATAATTATGTACTTTCTAAGATTATTTAGACACCACCACGACAATCGGTTAAGGAAACATCGTAAGACCACCAGAAACCGAGTTTATAATTTCTAATTATAAGTTTGAAATCGCTAACCCGCATTGAGTAAGCGTGGTGATTAATGCTCAAACCTTCTGTAAGAAGAGGCTTTGCTCAGCAGTGGGCATTTATAGGCTGTTGATGATGAGATATGCACCAGTGTAATATAAAATACTGTGAACGTACATACATACAATCTCACGTACCTATATTGTTTCTTATGCATAATGCATACTCTTGGGAGTTGAGGCAAATATTTTTCTTTTTTATTTCTTGATAAATATAATTTGATACAAGTATTTTATTAATTGGTAACGTATTTCGCATAGAAGGCACTTTGCGAAGAGTATTATGTCGTATAAGGATGTTTTAAGTTAAAGGTTTGATAAAATGAAAAATAAAAACGTAAGTGACTCCGTTTCTAAGCTCACAATTTTAGTTCCTATTGGTGATTACTTACTTTATTATTTCTTTAGGGAACAAGAAATGATTTTTTCTTGTACAAAATCCATCTAAGAAAGTTGTTTCAAAGTTTCATAGGTAGGTACTTACCGTACCGAATACTTATTTGTGGAGTTCGGTAAAAATATCGTACCTACTTAATGAGTTTCTTGTCGCTAGGTGGGTAGGTGTACCTCACCTACTATATAAGTTACTAGAAATAAATAATAATCAATGTCTATGTATTTTTTTTTAAGGGGGGAAAATCATCGAATGACTGCTCCCACCTGGGTGAGATGCGGGAGGGAGTGTCAGACTCTTATTGACTAAAAACCACCCCGTTCCTTCTCCTGCACGTCGAGCCGGAGCCCCGGTTACCCGTTAGGTTCTTAGGTTTTGTCTGAAAAGTTCTATACAAAGTTTCCTGTATTGTCTTTTTCTAGTTATACCTAAATGAGTTTTTCTTCCATAAGGATGTACCTAAGTATAATTTCTCGCCTGTGTCCTCTCCATTATGATTTTGTGTTGCTTATTTGTACTGAATTTTTCAATATATCACCCACTTTTCACCAGGTACATTACAAGTCCCATGACCCTATGTCATATACCGTGTGTACCTTTTGAAATACATCCGATACAATTCGACCAATGAGGTTGCAATCGCCCTTGCGACCGGACGTCATAAGGCGACCAATGTTGATGCCCTAAACTCCACGAAGGCAAATTATTATGGAAGAGGGAGTTAATGCGCGGATGGATTACCTAAAATAAGCGTCAGTCATAGACACAAGAGAAGGAATATGCTTCGGCACGAATAGGCCGGCTCGACTGAAGTGATACCACGGCCTCACAGAAAACTGACGAAAACCTCACTAAAGCAACACTTGCGTTGTGTTTCGTCACGTGAGTGAGGTTACCGGAGGCCTAATTACCTCACCCTCCTTCCCCAATCTCTGAATCCCCAACAATCCTCAAATTCCGAATTCCCAAAAGGCCAATAACGCATTTGTAACGCCCCTGGTGTTTCGGGTGCCCATGGGCGACGTCGATTGGTTACCATCAGGTGATCCATCTGCTAGTTTACCGGCTTATCCCATAAAAAAAGAAAAGAACCTCTCTTAGGACAAAGAGGCTCAAAGGCTATTTCCTTTCGAACCACACGTACGAGATCTAGCGAAACTAGTACGTACACTGGTCAAGAAGACGTTCAGTACAAGTTTACATTATGAACTTAAAACAATGCAAATAATAAACAACAACCTATAGTTACTAGCCTAGCAAAAACTGGTAATAACCAGTTTCGAGATACACACATACTTAGACGATTATTTGCAGCGGTTGAGTGACTTTGCGCTAAGTAATTTATGTACCACACGTCAAGTTGTACAATACCAATTTATTATGGCCTGGCTTTGTATGATCTTTTTGACCGATCAACGGCCAGTTTATACTGGTCCTGTATAGTTTGTCGTTTGTACCTTAATGCGAGTTAATGTTGCTACTGTTTTATTTCAGATAGTAAACTAACGTGTTCCTTAGGATACACCTGCTTTATTAGACCTGTGTCTAGCAGGGGACATTTGTAGTTACTCGAGTCTGCTAGGGAGCTACGGAATAGAAATAAAACCTATTTAAAGGTTCTTCAAGATTAATTAAATGTTATTTTTGTTTCGACAGACATTGATAGTGTATAATAATAAGGTCTATGTGTTTCTAATATACT